GTATTTCCCGTACAATATATGTCAATCAGTCTTTCAACAGGCTTCGGCGTCTCACTATTTTCAACATATCTTACTATCAAAGTTATTGCTTCTGATTTCAAAACATCGTATGTGCCATCAACTATGATTGAAAAGCATTTGTTAAATGTAATCTCATTTTGAATTTTTTTATAACCATATTTTTCATGGTTTCAATGAGATTGTTTATGTTATTATATGATAATAGGTTTGAATATAATTTCGTTTTTAATCCCTTATTTTTTTTTATCCTTTTTTCTTTCTTCATTTTGCTGTATATACATTTTTAGTATAGGTTCAGAATCTGCAATAAGCTTAATAAGGGCCATCATATTGCCTTCATGTTGCATGTTCCCCCAGAGGGCTTGGTTACGAGATATTAAATAATCTAAACATCTTATTATAATTCTTATAATTGAACGGTTATTATCTACACATTCTTCCTGAGGTGTTATAAATTTTAATATCGAATTTTTATTATGAGAAAGCCTTCCATAATCGGCCATCATATGTGCCTGTGAAGATTCATGCAGAATAATATCACGATTAATATTTTGCCATTTATCTAGACCTTCACATGTCCATTTTGAATTTGCGTGTGGACCACCAAATAAGAGACATGTTAAGCAAAAAACTTTATACATTTTAATACTTTAAGTAATCCAATTTCTAGGAATTTTGCTATTGTCAATATTGGTTAATATTTTTAGGCATATTTTAAAATTGGAAAAATAATTTATGACAAGAAATTTTGGATAACAAATTTACTAAACATCGACCAAAATTTCCGTCAATATATTAAATTAAATATTATGTGGGGGGGGGGGGGGTCTTATTATTACATTTATAAACCAGAAATCACATGATCATGATGGATGTAAAAAAAAGTACCCCCACTCAAATTTACTGAAGCAGTTGTTTCGGACCCCCCCCCCCCCCCCCGTTGTAGGGGCCCTTGAGTATACTATACTCATAGGGTAGTTTTTTACATTCCTTTAAACAAAAAAATTCAAAGGCTTGAGCAACAAATTATATTTAATAATTATTAATATTAAACATCATGTAAATTGCATAAATTTAGAATATATTATTTAAATGCAAACACAATCAGTATAATATAAACCAAATATAGTGTTGATAAATAACCTGATTCGATTCAGCAGAGCTATGAACCCACCTTTTAAAAAAAGGGTTAAAGTTTGGGTTCTGATTCAGAAAAATAAAGAATTATAGAATTTAGTAAAAATAACAGAATTATCAGTTTTCATAAACTTTATTTTACTATATTTGGGACTTACCATAAAAATCATTATAATTAGAATATAAGCAAATTATCATGATATCTTCCAAAACCGAGATGTTGAAATTAAAATATCAATTATTGTATGCCTAATTTTAAAAAGGTATTTTACCTTGTGATTATGTCTTTTTCTTTGGTCTCACTTTTAATTTAATAATCTAACAAACTAAATAAATATTCCTGAATATGTTATTTTAGAAAAGTTACAAAATGACTTGTCATGTTAGTGTAAATAAGAATAAAAATATTAGAAACTATTTTTATAACCAGAGCATGCATTAAATATGGTTACGCACGTTGATAAATAAACTAAGATAAAATTAAATATTACAAACTATCCTACAAAGTCAAATCGCCCATTTATGGATTTTGAATCGTTAATAGATTTACAAGAGAACAGGTTTAGATATGAGGCATATTTTCCATTCCGAAGTTCTTGCCCTGGCATTGCTTAAATCACTGTTTCGATAGAAGTGTTTGATGCAATAAAATCAGGGGTTAACCACTTGAAAGCCTCTATTGCCACAATATATTATGACAAAGCTGGGCAGATAGGGGAGGGCGAGAGGGGTAGTAGCTCCGGGAGGCCGAAATTAAACAATTTTAGGGGAGGCCAAATTTTGTAATTTTAATCAATTATTTTTAGCTCTTGAAAAATAAGAATTATTAGGTATGTACTACACACAAGAAATGCAATTTTTTTATAAAAATCTATATATGAATTTTGAAAAAGGTTTGGCATGCCTAGTACTATGTATTATAACAAAAAATTTGATTTATAGTTTAGTAAAAATAAACTTTATTTATTTTTTAGTTAAGAAATTTGATTTTTTTTAATCGAAATTTGATATAATATTATTCGACCACATTCATTGAATTAAAAATAGTGAAATTCATAATCATTATCTTGAAAATCGAATTCAAAATGAAATTATTAACTTGATAAGAGATAAAATCGTAGAAATTTTTTCTTAATGCTATTAAAAACGCAATAAATTTTTCCGTAATATTAGACTGCACACCAGACATAAGTTACCAGAAACAATTAAACGTTATACGATGCCAACAACTCCGTTAAAATAAATGAGCAATTTGTTGGCTTTCTAAAATTCAATTCCAGTACTGGCCAGGTCTTGGTAGATGCATTTTTATCATTATCTAAAAATTTGGGATTAGAGATAAAAAAAATATTTTGGACATGGTTACGATATTGAATAAAATATGAGAGAATTTTAGGGGTTCAAGCTCAAATATTACAAATGAATTGGAGAGCTTCTTTATTGCTTTGTGATTGCCACAGCTAAAATTTGCTACTTGATGACATGGCACTATCATCATTAGTAGCAAAATCATTTTTTAGTTGTCCAACTAATAGATTTTCTCTTTTTTTGTTTATACTCAGCGATTGCGAATTTTGAAAGATCATTTAAATAATTTCAAACCAGTTATCTGAAACGTAATGGAAGTGTAATGGGGAGTGTAAGGGCCATTAAAAAGAGGTTGGTAAGATGCACTAATGGATATATCCGAAAAGAATAATGACCCCGAATGTTTCACAGATCATCTGCATTTATATATTAACTAGGTGAATTTAGTAAGCAAGGTCATGCAAAGTGACAATATTGAATTGAAAAGAGCCATTACATTTATAGAAGTATGCAAGATATTTTAGATAGCTTTAAGAAAAACGGCCCACAGAATTCCCTTAACTCATGGAAAGAGCTTGCCAGGGAATCGGAAATGAGTTTAGAAGAGCAGTATTTCATTCAATAACATTATTTCGTACGAAAAGTTCAAAAATAATTTTCTTACGAAGGTGTGAGATATCCTCAAAAAGAATATGAGATTGAATCAATACATTACTAGATCAAGCGAGAAATTTGTTGGAGAAACGTTCCAGTAGTTAAAGCTTTTGAATATCATTTTGGATTCTTATTTAATATACCAGAATTGATAAATGCGCCTGAAAAAGAGCTAAAGGAAAAATGTTTTCAATTAAATATTTTATTCACAGATTAAGATACGTTAGAGCACGATATTAATCAGCAAGATCTACTAATTGAATAATATTTTAGCGAATATATTAAGCAAGCACTTTATTGGAATGTTTACCTATAATAACAGGCACGTATAGATTAAATGAAGTCTTATCTAATATATTCATTGTATTAAGGATTATTTTAACCATTCCAACTACGCATCTGCAGAATCCTATAAATTAATAAAAACTTACTTAAGATCCTGTATGGCGCAGGACCGATTTATTATTCCTTTTTTAATTTCAATAGAAAATGATATATCGTTAGATTATACTGATATCCTCTTTTGAATATAAAAAGGCAAGGAAGATAAATAAATTGCAATATATTAGCGCTGATTAAAATTTAATAGAATAGATATGCTTTTAGTTCTCATTACGAGAAATTATCAAAAAAGTTTAGGTAAATTGTATTATTTTAAAGGGTCGCAAAATTATTTTTTGCTCTGGGTCTCCAAAAGTCTAGGCACGGAGCTGTATCTAGGCATAGGAGTGGGTGACAATAGTAACTGGTTTCATTGAAACATTTGTCATTTATTTATCCTAGAATCAAGAGAATCTAATCTGTCAAAGAGAAGGGAAATATTAAAAAATTGAGAAAAGATATATTTAAAAAAGAAAGAATTTTAGTTTATTGTTGCATATATTTTATAAACAAATTAATACATTTTCAAGTCTTGGATAATATTTAATTTATCTTTACAAGGGCAACCAAGATAAAGTGAAGCAGTAAAGTAATTAGGAAAATATATTAGTAATAAAATGTACATGCAAAGTTAAATAATAGATAAAAATCTTTTTATATATTTTCTAGATTATTTAAGAAGATTATAAAATATAATTTATTAAATAAGAGATTTGAAGTAATTATCTTCTGTTCGATTGGACACGAATTAAATATCTGAGATTTTAACTCAGGTGTAGGGATTTAGGCCTAACCTATAAATTAATATATTTGCCTCAGAATTAGAAGTATCTTTATTAAATCAAACAACGGTAAAATTCCAATTTTAAAGTAAAAAAGTCAAAAAATCTGAATCTTATCAATATTATTGATCTTATTATAAGTAATTTTGTTTTTCTCAGTAAATTATATGTAAATTAAATTAACCGTCGTTTGTTAAATGAAATCCTGTAATTAACAAAACAAAAACTTTTAATAATATAAAATAAACAATTCAAATATAATATTATAAAATTACGAACCATATTAGAACAAGATTAAATAAAATAATAAAACTAAAATAAATAGAATAAAATTAAATATATTAATTCAAATATTGCAAATAATTAAAAAATATTTTTTCAGATACCCTCCACTTTAATAATGACCTTCATCGATCTCCCTTCTTGTGAAATATTCCGTTGAATCTGACTTAGAGATAGTGCTTTGTATGATCCATTTCTTTCACAAAGAAATCAAAATAGATTTTAAAATTTTTACATCGGTGCCCTTTCCCTCCCTTGTCAACATAAAGATAAAATGAATGAGTGACCCGATGTTAAAATGTTATGTGTCTTTACATCATACACCAGCGATATCATTATTAAAGATGTACTAAGTGCTGTGCTGGAAAAAATACAAAAAATTTTGGTGTTGTATAGTTTATAAATATAAAGAGGAATTTCAATAATATCGGTGTTATAATCAGCATATATTCATTTTTTAACACATGGATGAAACAAACTTCGAATCAGATATTGTAAAATTAAATTAAATATATATCTTTTCTAATTGCTATTTAGTCAACGAATATTGATCTGTCAGGAGATATTCAAAACTCTACTGATGTTATCAAACCAAAATTTGACACATTAAATGAACCAGTTTCAACTACGATTGTTAATTCTATATTTTAATTTATACTTAATAAATTATTTAGATGCGAGATTTAAAAGCTATTGGAGTAAAATTTTATCACGTTTTTATTCCTAAAAAAAGTCAAGCTTTGCTCAAAGATTGTAGACTACTTTGTTATAACTATTTTATAAATATTTTTTAGGGGATTTATGGGGACCATTGATGCTATGCATATATCTATCATTGTTAGATTTTATCATCAAATAAATTTATCTATATTATACAAATAGGATTCTACAAAATGATAAAAAATATACAAATGATTATATGGAAGAAATTACTAAAAATGATACAGGTAAAAATAATGTCAAAGTAACACAACTCTCAGGAAGGGGTCCTCAATTTGTTGAAGTGTTTGTTTTAACTTGGTTTGGTTCTCTACTTATTACAATAAATTCAAAGCTACTAGGAGGAACTTTGTAAAATCATTTATAATTATGATTTTTATATAAATTTATAGAGATAATATAGTAAGGTTAATTATCATCTTTAATTATAAGTTAAAGTTTAGAGTATTGATTGATTTATGAGTATTGAGTAAATATTGTTATCAGTGCATTTCTGATAAATATTACTCCTCCCCTCTCATCATCCTCCCTTCCTCTCAAAAAAAGAAAACAATATTAGATAAATTAATTACTATATTTGAAAATTTTTAAAAAGCATTGTAAAGAGAAAAATAAAAAGTATAAACCTTAAATGATTTAAAAAAATGTAATGAAGGTCTGTAAAATGCCAGCCCAAATAAAATTTATATGGGGAAATCCATTTAGAGCCCCCATCACCCTCAGGGAAAAATCATATTCACTTGGCATACATTTAGCCTATATATTGAGCATGTGAAAAGTAGCTAAATAAAAGAGCTACAAATTACTTTAAAAAAAATATAGCTACACCCTACAAGCTAGTATTGTTAAAAAGCCCGATTTGGGTCAATTTTTTAAAATTGCACAATTAGGATTTTAACTAAAAATAATATTGTGCTAGCCTCAGGATTTGGCAAATAAAAACCCAAACTTTTCTGCCTTCTACAAATAAAATCACCAGACTTTACACAATTTTATTTTGCTTATAATCTTAATTGAGCCGTTTTAAAAATCGACACGAATTGGGCTATGTAACAACATTACTACAAGCAACCATGAAAAATGTATCCTAGTTATAACTACAAAAATTATAGAAAATAGCTATAGTTTAGCCTAAAATAGGAATGATATATCTCAATATATATGCTCATTACATTTAGTATCAAATGAAAAAAAAATGTCAATATACTTATTTGAGCCCTCTAATTAAGGGTAGAAGAGTAATTGGCTAAATGATTGTATATCCATTTGTTCAGATGCCATTTATAATAATTAAATAACAAAATAAGTGATGCTGGAAATGGAATGAAATATTTTTCTAATATATGGAGATGAAATATTTAACTTATAAAGAAATATTTTATTTTTTTTACAATATGCTATCAATGTGTTGTATGAACATAATTTAATTTTATTAAAATAAAAAGCAGTTGATCTCATAAAAAATTTTAAAATTTATCAGCTGTTAAATTGTGCCAGATCAGATCCCACTATGAATGCATCCTAAAGAACTGTATTTCAACAAAATCTTAAAAATGATAAATTTCAAAGAATAATTTAAAATTTTGTCGAAATTGAAATCCAGTCCGAAATAAATTTTAAAATTTGGCGTTTTAAAAATCGACCAAATTAACCCTAACAATACTAGCTGATTGATGACTCGTTAAATATATTTAAATTCTTTTCTTGTTGCAAATTATATAACAAAAAATAATATCAAATTTTTAGCTAACTATCTTTGAAAATATAGCGGGTTTTTTAACGTTTAAAAATTGCCTTTTATTAATATTTTAATATAAAATTATGTATAAAAAGTATATAATATGATTATATTTACAATCATAAAATAACCAAAAATATCAGATCAAGTTTCTTAGATATATCAACACAACCCTATAATTAACCATATTATTCAATTGTTCTCGTTTTTCTTAACATCCATATATACTTAGTGAAGGTCACGGTCCGGATTGGACCGATACCCTCGAAACACATTTTTTCAACCTAATTTAATTTGTTTTATCATTTTATTAAATATAAGAGTATTATATAAACAATAAAATTTATCCAATGGTATTGAAGAAAGTGATTTTATGCTTGTGGAGGGCATATTAAAATTAAGAGTAGATTGTGTTTTTGAGATATTTTCATTTTCATCATTATAAGTATATATTTTATGTTTTATCAGATGTCCTTAAGGTACCTAATTATTTTATTAAGAATAAGGTTAAGTTATTTTGACAAAGAATTATTCAGACAGTTTAGAAAAAATAGAACTATATAAATAATAACCAAAATATTTTAATAATAATACTGCTTATTTTGATTAATTTATTGCTTAAAAAATTATAAACAATTATTTTGTTACTTGTTGCTGACGATACATTAAATTTGGTACTGCAGTGAACACATACTCTATGTTTTTTATTGGGACTATAAGTAAAATGTTTCTTGGACAAACTTATGGTTTTCATATTGTAAATAAATATTAACAAAATCTAAAATAACTCATCTAGAAAAATATCATAAAATAAAATATACAAAAAAAATATATTAATTAAATAGTAAAGCAAACTTAAATAATAAAAATTAAAAAACCGGTCCGGACCACGGTCTTTAAAAAAGATCGGTCCCGGTCTAAGACCGATAGGACCGGACCGTTGACCTTCACTAATTATACTTTACTAATTCATAGCAATTTATTTCCTTTAAAAATAAAATAAGATCATTTTTTCAATCGCTTTGCATTCTGGGCTATTGCTTGTTACCCTTAGCCGTGTCGTTAACCATATTAGAATTTTTCCTCATACTTTTCCCTTTGGCCTTCAAAAGGAATTTGATGTTTTTCTTGATTCGTTTGGTGATCGTCACCTTGGGATTCGGGTGGTCCTGTTTCGGTATAAAATATTATTATTATTATTTTTATTCCTTCATAAGTAAGAAAAGAAAGGAAGGGGTATATTATCTAACAAATAGTGAACCTGATCACCTTTTCTAAAATATCATCTACTTATAAACTTAAGAACCGATCTTTTAAACAAAAAACGAATTAAGGCACCCATTTGTCATGGTTTATAATATAGTCTGATATTTAACACGGATTATCTCGAAATTCACAGATATGGATATAATAGATTATTATAATACTAACTAATAATTTGTTAGTGAATTTCAAGCCTTTTCTGGAGATTTCATTTATCTTGATAAAATAATTAAATATATATATATATATATATAATTAAATACTATAGCATCAGTGGCTTTTTTAGCTGACAGTCAACCTCCGAAAAAGCGGGCCTTGTGTTTATATCCAATTTTCCTGTTTTACTTTCTCATTGGTTGGATGATTTTATCACATTCCTAATTGTCAAGTCAAAAATTTATGATAATTCTTTTTGTATCTAAAACGTGATATCGACGATTATACACAATTAACCAAAGTTGAATTTGGGGATATGATTTTTAATAGGGAATGGAAGTTTTTCTTAAAATGTTCTCATTTGGTATTAGCAATTTATTTATTTTATTGATTATGAATTAACTGATTATTGTATTATAGTTAATTTTGCGTTATTTATATAATACTTATTTAAAATTTTAATAAATTATTGGGGCTCATGTAATTATAACATTTCTTTTTGATATATTGATTATTATATATATTAACCAATTTTTATATACTTTTTTTTAGTTATAATGTATAAATAAAATGCTATTTTTGATGGCGCATTATCGTTCCCAACCATTGATATACCAAATTTATCCTTGAAAATGCACAATCCACTTAATTGCCAAATAAATGAGCAGAATATTTTTGAAAAATATTTTTTATCAGATTTCTTTACAATTTTTGGTGGTTAGTTTATTTATCCATTTATACCGAATCATGCAATCATTTATATATATGAAATTTTTTATTTATTTATATCCTTATGATTAGCATGCTCTCATTTTTAAAACTTTCCTTTTCCCTCTACTGCGTCCTATAGGGTTATAGCTATAGGCCGGCCGTAAAATTGATAAAATTCTTGTCAACTACCCCGAAATATATTGATTTCATATTTCTAGTATTGTAAACCAACGCGTGTTTTTTTTAAAAATATATAATGAGCGACATTCCTTTGGATACATTTTGAACATGAATGTGTATCCATTTTTTGACGAACGCGTTCATTTTTTTAAGTGTTAGTCAATTAAACAAGTTTTCATTTTATTATTATATTTTTTTAAATTTTAAATAATGATTTTTTTAATAAAAGATTTTATTTTCTTACTCAACTGTTTTCCAATAAATATTTTTCGGCATCCATTCCTTTCTGACTATTGTCTATTTTGCTAAAATATGGTTTATATTTTATTATGTTAAAGTTTATAAATTATATTATTGATAGATATTTCTGAAGGTTCGGACTCAAATGATATATCTTTATAGTCCAATTTCAATAAGTATTTCAATCTTAATTCTTTAAAACTAGGGATGTACCTATATTATTTATCAGATCGGACCGATATTTCATCATTTTCAAAATATCGGTTATTGGACGATATTATAATTTTTTTTAATCCAATCCGATAAAATGGTGTCTTTTTAAAAAATTTATAATTTCATAATATATTTGTTTATTACTTTTTGTGCAAATAGATTAATGATAAGTGTATCAATAAATTTATATACTTTAGTTTTGCCTTAAAAATTAAAACGGTCAGTATATAGCAGTGTTGTTAAAATAGCGCGCTACTTTTAAAAAAAATAGCGATAGCGGTAGCTCGCTACTAATTTAGAAAGTAGCGAAGTAGCTTTCAATTTTACATAATAAATACATCTAAAAATTATTAAAATATATTTTTTATAAAATCTAAAATTATAATCCTTTTATTTAATTTAATTTTGAAATTTATATTTATATTTAAAAATATATATTATTGTTATATATTAGATATAAACAGTTGTTAAATAGCAATCTGTATTTAATTTATATTTCGCGCATTCATTAAATTATATATTTTTGAAATTCCGTTATTGGTAAGTCCTTGCTTTTATCTTATTTTATATTTCATTTTACATTTTATATTAAGCATTTTAATTTAAAAAATTGTATATAAAATGTGAGAAAACTATATATATAAACAAATAGCAAAACAAGTCATATATTAAAAATGAGTGTAAATTTTAAAAATATCGATGGCTCTAAAAAGAGCTTATAGTAAAAATGTACCTAAAAAACATGTATAATTATGTTTAAAAATTTCTAATTGTATTTTTTGTTTTAGGAAGATTGACTCGCGTTTTTCGTTTGTTATGTTAAAAATTTTACGTGCTAAAATTTTTAAAAATGAATATGTTGATTGGGAGAAATTACCGTTATTTGAGATGACTATGGGTTGAAAAATAAAATTATTTAATGTTGAGTATTTATTGGTTTTTTTATTTTCGCCATTAGTAAGAGGATTTGAATTAATTGATGAGGGAAAGGAAGAGACACAGGTAGCGTCCCAAATTAGGGATTTGTGAGATTGTTGAAGATATTGAAATTTCTTTGGAAAATGAGCAAAATATAGATGATCCTTTCCCAAAATTCAAGAAATACTTTAACCTTGAAGAAAAAATTAATACTGGATATCAGTTTCGGTTCAAGATGTGCCGCAAAATTATCTCTTCAAATCATACGAGCAGCTTTAATTTGAAAAAACATTTAAAGGTAATATATTAAACAAATTTAATATCAATGTGTAGGCTAATCTTTAATTTTTAAAATAAATTAAAATCAAAAACCAATTTTTTTTATATATTCATAAATTTTATCTAAATTATTTAAAATAGTTATTTCAATCATTTTTATGTACTTATCTCCTACATAATTTTTATTCTAAGTATTTTATAATTTTAGACTGTGCACACTTCAAATTATAAAGAGATTGAAAAATAACTCAAAAGTTTTGGGGTAATGGAAGAAGATAAACCCACTTCCAAATCAAATTTAATACAAACAAAATTAACCAATTTGGATTCATCAACACCTGGTGCAGTGGCGTAGCTACGGGGGTGGTTTTCGGGTTTGGACCCCTCCCAGACCAAATTTTTTTTTTAGATTATACGTTCAAAAGACTTAAAAGTGATTCTATATCAATTATATTTTTCTGGTTTTGATGTTTGTGGAAGGATATTATATTACTATTGAAATTATTCTGGATAGTATTATTATAAAGTCATTGAGAATAATCTACTAAAGTATAATAACATATTATTGATGCATTTAAAAAATATATTTATTATCGAAGATATGGTTATGATTTGTAAGATAAACCCGGCCGAAGGCCGAGCAAAAGAGCCGAAGGTCCGTTAGCCCCCCAGCTTTTATATGTATGGACCCCCTCTAAGGAAAATTCCTAGCTACGCCACTGACCTGGTGTATCCCAAAAATTGGCTGACAAAGTCATTATGAACTTTATAATAGATACAGTTCAACCATTATCCTTGGTGGATAATGATTCTTTTATAAAGATGAATAACACTTTTTCTCCACAGACCAAGATATTTTGCCGGCAGACATTGATGGCATGAATTTTGGAGAGCTTTAAGGAAATGAAAGAATCTTTGATATTAAATCTATCAGATGTCTCCTACGTCTGTACAACGGCAGATTGCTGGACTCACAATAGAAGGTAAAAATGTTTATTTTCTGATTTATAATATGTCATATTTTTACAGCTTATTTAGGAGTAACTGCACATTAAATTTATCATAAAAATCTTAAACGAAAATCTGTAGCGTTAGCTCTAAAGAGAATAATTGGCTGTCAGACTTATGACATTCTAGCCAATATTATTGCAGAAATCCATAGGTCTTACAAAAATCAAAACAAGGTTTGTAAGATGATTACGGATAATGGGTCTAATTTCCTAAGGCCTTCAGGTTTTAAATTTATTATAATTTTTTTATAATATGATATAAATAATATAGAATATTTGGGGAGGATAATAATAATAACAATACTAGTAATATTCCTGACAAAAATATTGAAGACGGAGAACAAGAAGAGGAAGATAAAATGGAGTTTGAGATAATTGATGTTCATGACATCCTTGGTTTTAAATTATTTTATATTTAATTTTTCACCAATATAAAATAAAATTTATAATATTTGGGATCTTCAATAAAGTCTTCTATGTTACCTAGCCATCATCGTTGTTCCTGCCACAACCTAAATTTAGTTGCGACAGTGGATGCTGAAGAAGCATTAAATGAGGATTTTAAAAGAGTATCAAGATCTACATTTTCTAAATGCCAAGCTCTTTGGAATAAACAAAATAAGTCATCAAAGACGTCTGATATTTTCAAAAAAAAATTAGGACGTTATTTATTGACACCAAACACTACAAGATGGAATAGTGTTTACAATGCTATGAAACTTTTTACATTGTTTCAAGATGAGAAAAAAATGGAAATGAATTATATATTGGATCAAATGGGAATACAGTATTTTAATGTGGAGGAGCATACTTTTATTAAAGAATATACTGAAGTATTTTTAATTAACCTCTAGATGCTTTTTTTAAATCTAAAAATACTAATTTAAATATTTTTGATGATTTTTTTCATATAAAAAGTTTGTTAAAAAAAAATCAAAATAGCGTAAAAAGTAGCTAATAGCGCGCTACTCATTTGAAAACGATAGCGGTAGCGATAGCGCGCTACTTTTTTTATAAAATAGCGGTAGCGATAGCACGCTACTTTTAAAAGTAGCGTTTAACAACACTGGTATATAGAATACAAAATCAGATATGATATCAGATCGGTAATCGACCAATATCAATTTAATATAGGAACGGCCTCCAAAAAATGCTATCGGTATACCCCTATTTAAAACAAATATGAATAAATAATCTGAAAATATTCTTAGCTGTGCCGAGGCTGAATTATTTTTATCATCGGGCTTGGGTTGAGAAAACCACTTTATAGTACTATTCTTAATGAATGTTACCTTTGCCCTTTACAATAACATAGTCTGACCTTATCAATGGATGCTCATAATCAGGAATCCAAACCGAACCTGAACCGATCCATTAAACCGTTAAAAACCCCTATTTTTTGTCGAACCTAAACCGCTAAAAAATTTCTAGCCGAACTTGAACCGAACCTTTAAAATGCCTCTGAAACGGTTCGAGTCTTATAATTATATGCTTATAAAATAATGTGTAAGTTATTACTAGTATATTGCAAAAATTTTATTTATATTCGAATTGTTTTAAAGATTATTATCACATTAGATTGATAAGTGTCAGTCATAATTTTTATAAACTTTAGTGTATTGCCATTTTACAACATTTTTTAAATATTTTAAGCTTATAAATTATAATGCCTAGAGAAAAATTAATTCCAATATATAAATTATTTACATATAGTATTATAAATGACACATCAAATCTGATATCATGCAATGCCGGCTACCCAAGTTAGTGTGGAAAGATGTTTTTCAACAATTAAATTTATATCTCCTTATAGATGTAATTTGAGTGAGACGAATTTTAAAAATATATTAATTGTGCGGCTTAATAAAAAAAATTTAAGTAATTGTTCATGTTAAACTTAATCATTGATATTTATTTGTTATATTTATA